GACAGCACAGCTGCGACGACAGCGGCAAGGCGCACGAAACGAGCCCTTAACCCGGGATTTCTAGCTACCGTAGGCGGAGGGGTAGCGTTCGGCCATTATCTCAGGCGCCTCTGGGAAATCCGGAAATCGGACAGCACAGCTGCAACGACAGCGGCAAGGCGCACGAAACGAGCCCTTAACCCGGGATTTCTAGCTACCGTAGGCGGAGGGGTAGCGTTCGGCCATTATTGTAGGCTAGTCTAAAAAGGGGGGAAGAACAAGGGCAAGAAGGCATAAAAAAAGGGGGGAAAAAAAGAAGAGGAAGAGGGGTCATCATATAACAAGACTAGGGTTTGATTTCCAGCCATGATATACGATGACAGGGGCCCTAGTGGGAGTTGAATCCACAACCTCTTGATTTAGAATCAGGAATGCTACCATTACACTAGAGGACCTTTAGGTTTATAGGGGGGATGGGGAAAAGTGGGCTATAAGGGTAGAGTAGAGCATAGAGAGCAGGGCAGAGAGCAAAGTAGCGAGCAGAGCAGATAGCAGAGTAGCGAGCAGAGCAGAGAGCAGAGTAGCGAGCAGAGCAGAGAGTAGAGAGCAACGGCCTACTAGCCTCTCAGTCCTATGCATAGTCTATAAGGGCAAGGTAGTACTATAGGGCCCTTAGAGTCTAGGCATTATCTTAGGCGTCTCTAGGAAATCTAGAAATCGGTCTGCATAGCTGCGACTATAGCGCTAAGCCGCACGAAACAAGCCCTTAATCCTAGATTTCTAGCTACCGTAGGTAGAGGGGTAGCGTTCGGCTATTATCTCAGGCGTCTCTAGGAAATCCGGAAATCGGACTGCACGGCTGCAACGACAGCGGCAAGGCGCACGAAACGAGCCCTTGATCCGAGATTTCTAGCTACCGTAGGCGGAGGGGTAGCGTTCGGCCATTATCTCGGGCGCCTCTAGGAAATCCGGAAATCGGACCGCACGGCTGCGACGACAGCAGCAAGTCGCACGAAACGAGCCCTTGATCCAAGATTTCTAGCTACCGTAGGCAGAGGGGTAGCATTCAGCCATTATCTCGGGCGTCTCTAGGAAATCTAGAAATCGGACTGCACGGCTGCAACGACAGCGGCAAGCTGCACGAAACGAGCCCTTGATCCGAGATTTCTAGCTACCGTAGGGGGAGCAGTAGCGTTTGGCCATTATCTCGGGCGTCTTTAGGAGAACTAGAAATTAGACCACTATACCATTTAAGAAACATCTGCTTTGAGGTGTAGCTAGGATCATCGCGTCTAGTCGTTCCATCTATCCTTCCTAGCAACAGAGCCTTACGGCGCTCGTCTAGTCCCTTGTCTATTCCTTTGTCTGTTCCGTTATTAGTTCCATTATCAGTTCCATTGTCGGTTCCATTATCAGTTCTATTGTTAGTTCCCTCATCCATTCCCTTGTCCACTTGCTTTGTTACTCTACTCTACTTTAGTGATTCCCTTACTAGCCTGCTTTGTCTAGTTGCACGACCATGATGATTCACCTACGCCCTCTGGTTTGCCCACCCCTTTATTACTCACTTGAGGTTATTCACTCTGCTTTAGTGATTCCCTTATTAGCCTGCTTTGTCTAGTTGCACGACCATGATGATTCACCCTACCTACGCCCTTTGGTTTGCCCACCCCTTTATTACTCACTTAAGGTTATTCACTCTACTTTGGTAATTCCCTTATTAGCCTGCTTTGTCCAGTTGCACAACCATGATGATTCACCCTACCTACGCCCTTTGGTTTGCCCACCCCTTTATTACTCACTTAAGGTTATTCACTCTGCTTTAGTGATTCCCTTATTAGCCTGCTTTGTCTAGTTGCACGACCATGATGATTCACCCTACCTACACCCTCCTATATAGGCGGTGCCTTCAACTCTCTCCCCTCCTAACTCTAAGCCCAGACACTCATCGCATCCAAACAACAACACGCACTTATACTAAGCCTCCCACCTTCCAACTCCAACTCCTCAACACCCTTCACATCCAAACGACTAACATCATAACAACAACACTCACCTCACACCCATCGCCTCGACACACTCAACCCTCCAACTCTAACCTCTCCCTCCTCAACCTACCAACTACAAACCAATATCACTATGGCAGCCCCCCAGCCACCACCCATGACACCAGCCCACCAATCCTTCTGTGATGGCGGCAACTACACGGTTATCACTGCCTACCTCAGGGGCCTCTCTAATCAAAGGGGGGATGAGTACCGCACTATGAAGTTCGCCCCCTTCATCACGGCATTCCAGAACCACAGCCGCAAGCTCCAGACAATAGACGCTGCACTAGAAGAAGATGTAAGGAACCCCTCCTCCCTCCCCCTATAGATATACAGCCGAGCTAACTGTCTGATAGAAGCCATTCTACGAGGTTTGCGAGACTGTCACCAACGCCCGGAAGCAACTCCCTGTCGGCTTGGGTGGGATTGCCATCATCACTTCCCCCCTCCAAAACGCCGCCCAGCTCGCGAAGGCCAACGAGTGGCACGCAGCTGTCATCATGAGAAAGGGTGCTACTATGTGGATCTTCGACCCAGCCTTCGACCTCAACAACCTGCCAAAGGATGGCCTACTCGCAAGGGCCAAGGGGCTCATCATTGCCCAGAACATGTGGACGGAAATTGGGAGGAACGGGGCCCAGATCCAGAATGTCTACATCCAGGGGATCGGGGAGGATGAGGAGCCGACCTGCCTTGGGCGTAGCATCCAGTTTGCAGAGAGATTCCTAGACGGCAGCATCACCGATCCTTTCAAGGCAGACAATTGGTTCTGGTTGGATACAAAGGGGGTCCCACAGTAGAGGGGTAGGCAGTTATGTTACCACAGAGTTAGGGGGTGGGACGGAGGAGCAGAGCAGAGCGATTAAGATACCCATGATGACCGTAGCTAGAGAATAAAGAGCTACCTTCCTACACGTGCTGCTACCCAATTAATAGGAGTAAATGCCCCTCTCCCCCTATACATGTATAAAGCTCTCTCGCTCTCTCTCTACTCTCTACTACTGCCACCGCCACCGCTACCGCTACTGCCACTAGTACTACTACTACTACTATTACTACTACTAGTGCTACTGCCACTGCCACTTAGTAGAGAGCTATGAAGAGGGCAAAAAGAAGGGGGAGAAAAAGGCGGAGAAAAAGGGGCTCTAGAAAGATTATATAATTAGATTGTATAATCTTTCTAGAACAAGGAGCCCTTAAGGTCGAATTACAACTTTGCAAAGCATCGAGACAACCAGCATCTTAATGTCAAGCATTCATATATTCTAGCTCAAGCTCGTTTAGCTGCTAGGGAACTCCAGATGCTAAAGCAGACGGAGAATGGAGAGCTGGCTTGGATTGATCATAGGAAGCACTAGTATCTTACCATTAAGCGCCAGTTCTTATGCAAGCTAATGGTAGCTGTGCACATCACAGCTGGCCAGCCGGCCCATGGGCCAGAGCTTGGATCTATTAAGGTCTACAACAGCCCATACTCTACACGGAATATCATGGTTCTCAATGGCAGGGTAGCAATTATCACAATGTATGATAAGGCTACTACTAAAGGTGAAGAATATAGGGGCTGATATTATTCGATTTGGCGGGGTGGCAGAATCGGGCGGTCAAAAGACAGGGGGCAGATATTATTCAAACAGGGGGGCAGATATTATTCATTAGTAAGTTCCCCCATTAAAGCCCGCATAACCCGTATAGTTGGGAAATAGGTAAGCCAACCCGCCCGAATCCATTCCCAGTGACGGAATTGCAATATTCGCAGTGGTTGTTGAGTTATTCAGGTCAGATATAACCCCAAGTTGGGGTTAGGGTTACCAGGCGGGACGGAGTGAGTGGCGTTACAAGGGGGTGGTTTGGGTGAGACATCAATTAAAGGTGAAATAGGGGGATTATAAGGGTTTTGTATGGAATTAAAGTAGAGTCCAGAGCCTATCCTAGTTAAGGCTTCGGTGTCAGGGCTGACACCGCTTTTTCAGCCAATCAATACCCTAGTCATTTTCGTGACCAGGGGCAGTCACCCATTTTCATTCTGGGCAGACACCACTTATTGAATCGAGCCATATCATGGTAGTTTAACGTCGCAAAATAAACTAAGCGCTATCCAGTATGAGAGGATAGAGTTAGTATACCCATATACCCCATAGAACCCCATTTTATGCCGTTATTATTAAACCTATCCTAGTTAAGGCTTCGGTGTCAGGGCTACTATTAAAGGTGAATAAATCCAGGGCTGGATTTATTCATTTGGGTGGGCGGCAGAACCGGGCGGTCAAAAGACCAGGGGCTGGATTTATTCATACAGGGGGGCACGATTTATTCATTTTGTAAGTTCCCCCATTGAAGTCCGCATAGCAGCTACAGCTGGAAAATAGGTAAACCAGCCCGCCCAATTCCATCCCCGGTGTTAGAATTACGATATTCGTAGTGGTTGTTGAGTTATTCATGCCAGAGTCAACCCTAAGTTAGAGTTAGGGTTGCCAAGCGGGACGAACCGAGAAGCATTACAGGGGTTTAGGTGAGACATCAAACAAAAGTAAATCATAGGGGTAACTTATCGTATAAGATTATGGTACAGCCCAGAATCCGTACGTAGCATAGTAATATATATTCAATCCGGTTAAAATGGACCATTTCATTCATTTACCAGAATTTCGAGTCATTATATGCAAAAAGTGTCAGTACGCAGTATTACCCGGCGAAATCGACGCCCATTTGGCAAGAGAACCGGTGCACGGATTAAGTAGGGACAGCTGAGAGTTAATTTTCAACTAGGTAAGAAAGGTTGATGGTTTAATCAAGAATAGGACGGCGTTGAGCCAAGTGGGATTCAAATATCCACCGCCAAATACAATAGCGATTCCAGGGCTAGCTAAGCCCAGAGCGGATGCATTAGGTTGTCCGTTCGAACGGGACGGAGAGAGGTGTCGATTTGTGCACCCGCAAGTGCAGAGGATGCGAGGGCATTGTCGAGATGTCCACCAATGGAAGAACCCGCAGAAGAGAGGTGGTCAATGCAAGGATGGTCCAAAGAACGACGTTCCATGGAGGAAGGGTGTCCATTGCCAGCGGTTTTTTGTGCAAGGATTATGTTCCAGTTATTTCGAGGTAGAATGCGAAGTTCCCACCGCACCCAGCCCGGAAAATCCGGAGGTAAAGATGGAAAAGGAAATCCAGCGTCAAATTGACAAGGTGGAAAAGGAAGCCAAGAAGAAGATTGAGGTGTTAGACAAAGCCCAGGAACCCAATCCGTGGTTGAGGCGGGTGAAATGGGACGAGCATTTGCAGGGGATAGACCGGGATAGGTTGAGATCGTTAATCGAACCCGTTGACCCAGAGGAGGAGGACGATTTGGTTATAATCCATAAGAGTTTCAACAGGGTAATGAAAGAGTGCTAGAAGCATGTCGTTGA